CCTTGGGCTTAAAATATATTGAGTTAAACTCATTTTTGTGCAAGCAAGCATGGATTTGGAAAGATGTATCCATTAAGACATTAATTATCTGTATAACTTTTTATTTCATTCCTCTTATATATGTCATATACTGTAGATCCATGATGTGGGATTTATGAATGCATATTGCATATGTCCCCTTTTGTACCTCAAACTCTGATTAATGAAGGGTAATTAATTAGCATATGTAGCTTCTATTGAATATTGATGAGTTGGGTTATTGTATTTATTTTGGGGCGTTACAACTTGGTATCAGAGCGTACCGGGTTTGAATACTTTGGGTACATGGGAAGTGGTTCTTACCATAATGGGTTTGTCTCACTTGATAGAGATGTTTGTATGTTTGGTATGCTATGTGATAACATGCTTATGTGACCAAATGAGTATGGGATTTAATTCCTAAGATATTGATTGGGTCTACAAGTTTTTAGAAGTCCTATTAGAAGAGCACTTGATCACTGCTATTTCTAATTGGAACTCTGGCAATGTCGCAGGATGATCATTATCTAGAAAGGAAGTTCGTTTGTGTTTATGTGATTAAGTGCTTAATTGGAGTGACTTTTGGTGTGACTAGTGCTATGGAATGAAGGAGATTTTGTTAAGGGCACCATTGTTTGTGTGCTAAAACTTGTTATGTTTATTCATGATTAGGATGTCTAGACGAGGAAGTGATGATTTCTCTCCTTTCACATAGGAAGAATTGAGGAAACAATTTGTGGAGTTGCGCCAAGGTACTACACCTTTGGCACAGTTTGAGGCGTGGTTTACTAACCTATCGAGATTTGTTCTAGAGTTGGTGGAAACCGAGGAGCTTCATTGTTCGGAGTTTGAGAGAAGGTTGTGTGATGATATTCGAGGGAGGATTGCCGGATCTTGGCATTGAAGTTATCGTGGGATTGATGAAGTTGTGGCTCATGTGGAGGTAGCGGTCTTAGTCATGGGACGGAGTGGGGAGGAGGCCATTTCGGTAACTCTTGTAACTCGGGGTTGTGGTAGACCTTTTCAGAACTAGAGGAAGAAGGTAAGGTTGATGGCTCAACCAATAGTTGTACTGCCATAACCATCTAGTCAGTTGGGGTCTAGGATGACTGAAAGCTCGCAGGGGAGCAGCCGTCAGGACTCTTGCCTGTTCAGACTTTGAACCAATTACACAATAGGGGACCACCTACTTTCTCCAAATGTGGCCAGTTGGGCCATATTAGATGTCGTTGCTTCCAGCGTGGAACTTCTTTGGGTGTATCGGAGTCCAGTTGGACTTAGCCTTATCCATCTAGGCAGGGGCAATACCATTACTGGAACCTAGTATGCAGACTTCGAAGGGCTCTAGAGAGTCAGCCATTGAATGGTGAGTTATGCATTTGTTTTAGTTGTGGCCAGCTAAGACACATCATTAGTTCTTGTCCTTGACGTGTAAGCTCTTAGGGTATCTCGACGTTTGAAAATAACCAATTTCAACAGTCCAGTAAGGGACGATAACGGTGGTAGTAAACATTGAGTGGGCACCTCAATGTGTGCCATATAGGTGATATGTTGCCTATTAGCATAGGTTGTGAGTTGGTGTTGGTTTGTCCGTAGTGACAGTTAACATGTCTTTGAGAGACAGTGGTGTTTCGAGTCCTTTGTGCTTGGTGGTTGGGTGGAGTTGTTATACTCATTTAAGTGACGTCGCGTAGGTTTAGTGTTGGTTGTTAGCTAGTGGACCAGTATGTGTTAGAGTTAGTTATAACCTTGAGGGGTCAAATGTGTGAGGTGTAGTGTGGGGTGTGTCCCCCAATTAAGTGAGTTGTTTTAAGTTTTATAACCTATGGAAGGGGTGTTGGTGGTGTGAGAGTTTCTATAACACGAAGAGTTGGGATTGACCTTGTAGATGTGGGTAGTGTTGGTGTATAATTCTGACTATGGTGATAATGACCTAGAAGTCCATATTGTGGAGTGAGGTTGGTTGGGATGTCAGTGGTGGTTAACTTTTCTCGGGTTTAGAGTTCGTTGGGCCATTTAGGCTTGGGGTTTCTCTTTATAGATGATGGGTGTTTGAAATAGATAGGGTTGTCTCTCTGTAGTTGAGTGAGGTAGTTGGTTAGATACCTGGTAGGATTTATAGTTGCTTTGGGTAATTTGGAAAGGCACGAGGTGTGTTAGGAGATTATGGATGGTGTGATTGGTTTTGAGTTAGTGTTTTGGCGACGGGTTGTCGCGGTGGGCTGGTCTAAGATTCACCTAGTGAACTGGTACGGTGTAGTATAGGTGTGACGACCCCGACCTCCGAACTAGTATATTATGTTAATTTAATAAGCCTAATTGCATGGTTGTGTGTTTAATTATGTGATTACATGTTTAATTTCGTAATTATCTGTTATTACATGGAATATCTGTTTGAATTGACCATTTAGAGATAGAAATTGAGAACCTAGATGGTTTCAGAAACTGAAATTGAATAGTCTAATAAACTAAATAGAATATTTAGAATTTTACGGCAACTTTAATTAAAAATTGATTTGGATCAAAATAATTAGATTTAAACTGATTGAATTAATTAGGATTGAGCCTAAATTACTTAACCATGATCATACTTGATTCGGCTAAGCTAATCACACCATATAAATAGCTCTAAATAAGCTTATGAGCTCATATACACACATGCTTGGCTGAGATTTTGTGAGAGAAGGGAATTAACTCAATACTTGGAGAGAGAGAGAGAGAGAGAGAGAGAGAGAGAGAGAGAGAGGGATAGGAGAAGAATTGTGAAAGAAATTGTGGAGAATTTGAGAATTAAGCTATACAACACTTGAATTCAAGTCTTAGGTATGATCTTCAACCCTAATCTTTGTAAATGAAACATGTAGAAGTTGAATTCATCTAAGTTTTGAGTTCATTTGCATGAAATTGTTAAATAGAAGCTTCAACCACCTTGAATATGGAAGTTTTAAGAGTTAAACATGTACATGCATACATAATTTGAGTTAGAATTCATGAAATTCCTACATGCATGGCACAATTACACCTCAATTTGGAGAATACTTCATGTTTTCATGTTTCTCATGTCACTTGATTATGTTTTGATGAAGTATACACTCAGTTTGAATTAAACTTGTTTTATAACTTGAAATTGAAGTTTTTGGTTGAGAATTTGCCATGGTTTTGAGCAATTGGTTCCAAATTAACTATGCTTCCATTTTTTATAAAGTTTTCCCATGTTTTTGAACCTAAAACATGAGTTTGGGACTTTTTAATATCATGTTTGAACTTCAAACACAATTCTGGATATTCTAGAATTTGGCTTATCTGCTCAAGCGAGGAAAGCTCCGCTCGAGCGTGAAAATCACACTCCCAGAAGTTTTTCAAAATTGTTCAAGCCGCTCGAGCGACCAAAGTGGCACTTGAGCGAGGACCCTTTGTACTCAGTCTTCTGCTCGAGCGATCGTTAAGTGGGAATTTCATGCAACTAGTACTTTTGTCAAGTTTGCAAATCGCTTAAGCATTAGAAGTTGCGCTCGAGCGGCCACCTTTCTTTTCGAAACCCTGATCGAGCGAAGAAAGTTACGCTCGAGCGGAGACCTTGTTTTCAGTAAAATTTTACCAAATCTTTTAAGTGCATATTTGCATCCTCATGCGACTCCAAGTATTCTTAGGCATCATTTGGACTCATATAATCGTAGAATGAGTTAGAAACACATGAGTAGAATTGAATTAAAATGAATTGGTGCTTCAACTGTGCTTCTGTTATGTGCTTTGTTTAGGTGGACGTCCGAGGCTTAGTGACAACTCAAACCACTGTGAGTAGTAACTTTACAAAGATATGTTCAAGTAATATTATTTTTGAAATTGTTATTTCTTTGGAATCAATGTGTGACTGATTGAATGGTTTATTGAAAAGTATTTGTGGCATCCATTGAACATAGGCCCATGCCTGGGGGTAACAATACCACGGCTATTGGTTGTAGGCCCTTGCCTGGAGGTAACAATACCACAACCATTGGATGTAGGCCCTTGCCTAGGGTTAACAACACCATGGCTAATGGATTACACAGAGATCTCTAGTGTTACCCCTTTGTGGTCCATTGGTTTGACCCTTCGTGGTCTATTGGTTTGACCCTTTGTGGTCTATTGGCTTAACCTTTCGTGGTCCATTGGTTTTTGCTCCACTATGATTGGAATGTTATTGTTCGTGGGTGTGCCACAGATTTTGATATTAAATAACGTCGATTATGAAATTTATTGGATATAAAGATTTGAAACGAGAATTTTGATGAGCATGTTATCGAACTTCATTCACATAACCTCTTTATTTTGTTATTACTCATTGGACTCTAGCTCACTATTTATATATATATATATATGTGTGTGTGTGTGTGTGTGTGTAGGTGGGCAAGTTGAACATCAAAGTTAGAAAGCCTCGAGTCTACCTGGGTCAGCGCTTTTAAGGAGCTTCTAAGTGAAGTGATTAGGCTCAGGAAGAGCCATGCTAGTTCAACCCCCTTTTGTGTATTTCAATGGTTTGGTATTTGTTTATAGTTGGGGTTGTATTTTTGTAAAACATGAATTTCGTACAATTGTGATAAATGTACTTTTCAATCAAAACTTTGTTTATTATATTAGTTCTCCTCATATATGCACAGTTTAATGGATAATTTCTATGTTGTTTTAAATTTCCGCTAAGCCTCGTACTTTATATTAAGAGATTCATTTGTACAGAGGCCGTAGGTAATCTATGATTACTGGCTGATCATGACGCTAAACCTATACGGCCGGGTTTGGGTCCTGACAGAGTGTTATCAGACCACGAGTTATATCTCACTCACTTGTCCATTGAGCTGTAGAGAGTCTAGAAGAGAGTTCAGGATTGCATTCATGTGTAATTAAATGTTAGAGTGAGATAAATTGTATGATTACATGTTTTGAATTTGAACATGTGGACATATTTTATTTGTTGTGTTTATCATAATACAAGTTTTACATAGAAAATGGTAAGGATAAGGGGTGATGAGCTAGAGGAGGCAACCTCCTCAAGATTGGATAGAATGGAACAAATGATGCAAGATATGGCTGAAGCCATAAGGCAACAACAACAGTGGCAACATCAACAACAACCACCACCCCCACCTCCAATGCTTGTGCCACCTCCATCTCCAGGGTGCCAGCCGGAGAGTTGTAATATTGCTTTGACTAGAGAATTTAAAAAGATGAAGCCACCACTATTTCATGGCAGAATTGAACCGTTAAAGGCCGAAGCTTGGGTCTTAGGAATTGAAAAATTGTTTGAAGTGTTCCCATGTACCGAAGCTCAGAAGGTACAACTAGCTACATTCACATTAGAAGATGATGCAAGACATGGGTGGATGTTGGTTCGAGATGAGAACCGAGACGTTACTTGGGCCCGTTTCCTAGAAATATTTTATGTGAAATACTTTCCACAATGTGTGCGGGACAGAAAGGCAACTGAATTCATAGAACTCAGGCAAGGAAATAAATTAATTGCTGAATATGAGGCTCAGTTTACAGAGTTAGCTCGCTTTACATCCCACATGGTAGATATAGATTATAAAAAGGCCAGACAGTTTGAGGGAGGTTTGCTTGATCCAATTTTGGATAAAATCAATGTGCTCAAATTGCCGACATACGTGGATGTACTTGATAGGGCACTAATAGCGGAGAGAAATGTGGCCAATCGTAAATAGAACTTTGAATGGAAAGTTAGAAAACATAATTTTAGTAAGAGAGCAACATCAACAAATAAGAAGTTAAAATCTAGGAGTTCTCGTAATACCGGTTCAAGCCAAGGTGGCAATTCGACACCAACTTGTGCTACTTGTGGAAAAAAACATTGGGGTGTTTGCTATCGCGCATCAGGGGCTTGTTATTACTGTGGGAAGACCGGACATATTGTAAAGGATTGTACGTAACCATGTCAAAGTGAGAATCATGGTACTACAAGTTCAACTAGATCTGCTCCAACAACGGGAACAAACGCAACACCCATTACAACAAGAATTGAACAAAGGGAATGAAGGGTTTTTAAACTGATCCCAGGGAATACTCAAAATGCTGAGGCAGTAGTGTCAGGTACAATCTCCATTTGTGATAAACCTGTTGATGCTTTAATTGATTCCGGGTCTACACATTCGTTTATTTCTATGGTTTTTGCTGAAACTTTGAATAGACCTATGGAAACATTGAACTATATGCTATGTGTTGCATCACCTATGGAGGGATCCATACTATGTTCAACTGTATTTGTTGCATGTGAATTATTTCTCAGGAATGCTGTTTTGTTTGCCGATTTGATACCTTTAGACATGAGACATTTTGATGTGGTTTTGGGTATAGATTGGCTAGCTAAATACTATGCAACTATTGATTGTGCTTTGAAACGAGAAATATTCCGACCTCCCAGACAAGATGAATTTTATTTTGAAGGGAAAGGAGTAGTTCCTCCACTGTACCTCATATTTTCCATGAAAGCCCGAAAACTAATAAATAAGGGTTGTCAGGGGTATTTGTGTAGTGTGGTAACTGAACCAACTATAGACATTACTAAAGACAATATACCAGTGGTGAGAGACTTTCCTGATGTGTTTCTAGATGAATTACCTGGCCAACTTGTTGATAGAGAGATTGAATTTACAACTGATGTAATATTAGGAACTCAACCAATTTCTAAAACTCCCTATCGCATGTCTACTACTGAAATGAAAGAATTGAAAACTCAGTTGCAAGAATTGCTTGATAAAGGGTTTATCAGACCAAGTACTTTACCATGGGGCGCACCGGTACTTTTTATGAAAAAGAAAGACGGCACTCTTCGACTATGCATTGATTACCGAGAGCTCAACAAGGTAACGGTGAAAAATAAATATCCTTTGTTGCGTATTGATGACCTGTTTGATCAGTTGCAGGGGGCACAGATATTTTCTAAAATTGACTTGAGATCTGGATATCATCAACTGAAGGTTAAGGCTGAGGACATTGAAAAGACCGCCTTCCGGACCAGGTATGGGCATTATGAGTTTTTAGTCATGCCTTTTGGAGTTACAAATGTGCTCGCAGCATTTATGGATTTAATGAACAGAATTTTCAAACCTATCCTAGATGACTTTGTTGTTGTGTTCATTGATGACATCTTGATTTATTCAAAAAGTCAAGATGAGCATGAACGACATTTGAAACTAACTCTTCAATCACTTAGAGAAAAACAGTTGTATGGGAAATTCAAAAAGTGTGAATTTTGGCTTGATGAAATTTCATTTTTGGGGCACATCATTAATAAGGATGGTATATCTGTGGATCCTCATAAAATTGAAGCAATTATTAATTGGCCTACCCTGACTAATGTATCAGAATTTTGTAGTTTTATGGGATTGGCAGGGTATTATAGAAGATTTGTTAGAGACTTTTCAAAAATTGTTGTGCCATTGACTCAACTGACTCGAAAAGGGGAACCATTTGAGTGGACGGATTAGAGAGAATCAGTCTTTCAAGAGTTGAAGACAAGACTGACTACAGCTCCAATTCTTACTATTCCTTTAGGTATTAAAGGTTTTGTGATTTTTAGTGATGCATCTTATAAGGGCTTGGGTTGTGTCTTAATGTAGAATAGCAAGGTGATTGCATATGCCTCTCGACAATTGAGGCCACATGAAAAGAACTACCATACACACGACCTAGAACTTGCTACAGTTGACTTTGCATTAAAGATATGGCGTCACTATTTGTATGGGACCAAATGTGAAGTGCACACAGATCATAAGAGTTTGAAATACTTTTTCACTCAGAAGGAGTTGAACATGCGTCAAAGGCGATGGCTTGAATTAATCAAAGATTATGATTTGCAGATTCACTATCACCCGAGCAAAGCCAATATTGTGGCAGATGCACTTAGCAGAAAGAATATGGGGAACATTGCCTGTTTACTCACCGATCAGAGAGAACTGCTACTGGAGTTTAAAAAACTTGAAATTGAAGTGATTCCTTATGAACAAGATAGCTTGATAGCCGCGATGTCTTCCTAACCTACCATTATTGAGGAGATTAAACGAAAGCAAATGAATGATGAGTTTTTGAAGAAGATTTGTGATGAACTTGACACCAAGGCTAAACCGGGGTTCATAATTGAAGATTCTGTATTAAAATTTCAAGGGAGATTGTGTGTTCCAAATGATGCGGATTTGAAAAGGAAAATTTTGAAGGAAGCCCACAAGTTAGTGTTTGCTATGCACCCAGGGAACACCAAAATTTACCAAGATTTGAAATTAGTGTATCGGTGGCCCAACATGAAAAAAGAGATTGCCGACTTCAACTTTAAATGCTTACAATTCCAACAGGAAAAGCGAAGCATCAGAAACCAGCAGGTTTGCTTCAATCTCTTCCTATTCTAGAATGGAAATGAGAACATATCACCATGGACTTTGTTATTGGCCTACCTCGGACACCTAGAGGTATGGACTCTATTTGGGTTATAGTTGATAGATTGACCAAGTCTACTTGTTTTCTTGCTGTAAAGACTTCATTCAGATAGGGATCCTAAATTTGTTTCTAGATTTTGGCATAGTCTGCAGGATGCAATGGGAACAGAATTGAGGTTTAGTATGGCATTTCATCCACAGACCGATAGGCAAACCGAAAGAACTATTCAAACCTTAGATGACATGCTTCGTATGTGTGTTTTGGATTTTCAGGGCAGCTGGGAAACTTATTTTCCATTGGCTGAGTTTGCTTATAATAATAGTTTCCACACTAGCATTGGCATGGCACCATATGAGGCACTATGTGGTAGAGAATGTAGATCAGCAGTTTGTTGCACAGAAGTTGGTGATAGGGCTATTTATGGGACTAAACATGTGCAAGAGACGAGTGAAAAGATTAAAATCATTCAACAAAGGCTCAAAATTGCACAGAGTCTACAGAAAAGTTATGCGGATCAGTGAAGAAGAGACTTAGAATATGAAGCAGGAGATCATGTATTCATTAAAGTAACACCAATGAAAGGGCAGATGAGATTTGGCAAAAAGGGAAAACTGACTCCTCGCTATATTGGACCGTTTCAGATCCTTAAAAGGTTGGGTCCTATAGCATATCGTATTGCCTTGCCACCGGGAATGGAACAAGTGCATAATGTTTTCCATGTATCCATGCTTCATGGGTATCTTAGAGACCTATTCCATGTGATTGATCACCATCGGATTGCTCTAGACGAGAATATGATATATGTAGAATGCCCCGTGCGAATCATCGAACGGCAAGTGAAGCAATTGAGAAACAAAACTATCTCTGTGGTGAAAGTCGAGTGGAAAGAACATTATGGGAAGGAGGCCACTTGGGAGAAGGAGAAGAGATGCGACAACGGTATCCGAATTTGTTTCCATCTGAAGGTAACTTAAGTTTGGAGGACCAAACTTTCTAAAGGGGAGAGACCGTGACGACCCCGACCTTCGAACTAATATATTAAGTTATTTTAATAAGCCTAATTGCATGGTTGTGTGTTTACTTGTGGGATTACATGTTTAATTTCATAATTATCTATTATTACATGGAATATCTGTTCGAATTGACCACTTCAAGATAGAAATTGAGAACCCAGACAGCTTCAGAAACCGAAATTGAATAGTGCAATAGACTAATTAGTATATTTAGAATTTTATGGCAACTTTAATTGAAAATTGATTTGGATCAAAATAATTAGATTTAAATTGATTGAATTAATTAGAATTGAGCCTAAATTACTTAACCTTCATCATACTTGATTAGGCTAAGCTAATCACACCATATAAATAGCTCTAAATAAGCTTATGAGCGCATATACACACACACACTTGGCTGAGATTTTGTGAGAGGAGGGAATTAACTCAATACTTGGAGAGAGAAGAAGAAGAATTATAAAGGAAATTGTGGAGAATTGGAGAATTAAGCTATACAACACTTGAATTCAAGTCTTAGGTATGATCTTTAACCTTAATCTTTGTAAATGAAACATGTAAAAGTTGAATTCATCTAAGTTTTGAGTTCATTTGCATGATATTGTTAAACAGAAGCTTCAACCACCTTGAATTTGGTAGTTAAGAGTTAAACATGTACATGCATGCATAATTTGAGTTAGAATTCATGAAATTCCTACATGCATGGCACAATTACACCTCAATTCGGAGAATCCTTCATGTTTTTATGCTTCTCATGGCACTTGATTATGTTTTGATGAAGTATACACTCAATTTAAATTAAACTTGTTTTATAACTTGAAATTGAAGTTTTTGGTTGAGAATTTGCTATGGTTTTGAGCCACTGGTTCCAAATTAACTATGTTTCCATGTTTTATAAAGTTTTCCCATGTTTCTGAACCTAAAACATGAGTTTTGGACCTTTGAATATCATGTTTGAACTTCAAACACAATTCTGGAAATTCCAGAATTTGGCTTGTCTGCTCGAGCGAGGAAAGCTCCACTTGAGTGTAAAAATCGGGCTCGCAGAAGTTTTCCAGAATTGTTCAGGCCGCTCGAGCGACCAAAGTGGCGCTCGAGCGAGGACCCTTTTTACTCAGTCTTCCGCTCGAGCGATCATCGAGCGAGAATTTCATGCAACCAATACTTTTGCCAAGTTTACAGACCGCTCAAGCATCAGAAGTTGCACTCGAGTGAACACCTTTGTTATTGAACCTCTGCACGAGTGAAGGAAGTTATGCTCGAGCGGAGACCCTATTTTCAGCAAAATTTTACTAACTCTTTTGAGTGCATATTTGCCTCCTCATGCCACTCCAAGTATTCTTAGGCATCATTTTGGACTCATATAGTCATAGAATGAGTTAGAAACACATGAGTAGAATTGAATTAAAATGAATTGGTGCTTCAATTGTGCTTCTGTTATGTGTTTTGTTTAGATGGACGTCCGAGGCTTAGTGACAATTCAAACCACTGTGAGTAGTAACTTTATAAAGATATGTTCAAGTAATATTATTTTTGAAATTGTTATTGCTTTGGAATCAATATGTGACAGATTGAATGGTTTATCGAAAAGCTATTTTGTAATGATGAATGAAGTTCATTTTCGAAATGTATTTGTGGCATCCATTGAGCATAGGACCGTGCCTGGGGGTAACAATACCATGGCTATTGGTTGTAGGCCCTTGCTTGGGGGTAACAATACCACGACCATTGGATGTAGGCTCTTGCCTGGGGGTAACAATACCATGGCTATTGGATTACACAGAGATCTCTAGTGTTGACCCTTCGTGGTGCATTGGTTTGACCCTTCGTGGTCCATTGGTTTTTGCTCCACTATGATTGGAATGTTATTGTTCATGGGTGCGCCACATATTTTGATATTGAATGACGTCGATTATGAAATTTGTTGGATACAAAGATTTGAAACGAGAATTTTGATGAGCATTTTATGGAACTTCATTCAGATAACCTCTTTATTCTGTTATTACTCACTGGGCTCCAGCTCACTATTTATTTATATATATATGTAGGTGGGCAAGCTAAACATCAAAGTTAGAAAGCCAAGAGTCTACCCAGGTCAGCCCTTTTGAGGAGCTTCTAAGTGAAGTGATCAAGCTCAAGAGGAGCCATGCTAGTTCAACCCCCTTTTTGTGTATTTCAATGGTTTTGTATTTGTTTATAGTTGGGGTTGTATTTTTGTAAAACATGAATTTCGTACAATTGTGATAAATGTACTTTTAAATCAAAACTTTGTTTATTATATTAGTTCTCCTCATATATGCACAACTCAATGGATAATTTCTATGTTGTTTTAAATTTTTGCTAAGCCCCATACTTTATATTAAGAGGTTCATTTGTACAGAGGCCGTAGGTAATCTATGGTTACTGGCCGATCATGACGCTAAACCTATAGGAGCGAGTTTGGGTCTTGACAGTAGGGATGTATGCAAAGGTGGAGTATTCCTTTATTCTAGGTATAGAGAGACTTAGGCTTACTCGTTTTTTGATAATAGCATATGGTTTCGTTGGGAATAGACTTGTATCTTAATGGTAGGTAGTGTTAGCGGATCTTAGTATTGCCTGGTTGGTTGTCTCTTGTGAAGGGATTTTAGTCCCTTATCATAGTATTGGTTGTTAGTGTTTGGTGGGTGGTGTGTTCGGAACACCTTATGTTATATTTTGGGCAGTGGTACTGCAGACGTTTCCTAAGTTCTAGAATTTATTTATTGTATTTGGGTGCAAAAGATGTGTAGCTCAATTATGGATAAGTTAAGAGATGTTTTTGGAAGCGTTGGTCGGGTGTGTAACCCATTGTTGTTGTGTGACCTATATGTAAGGTGATTGTCTTCGGAGAAGGGCCGTATTTTGGCTCACATAGTGATCTAGGTTGGTTGAGAGAGTAGTTGGGAATGTAGTGTTCTATGACTCGGGTAGAGGAGGTTGAGAACTTCTTTTGTTCTTCTGTGGAGTTAGGATAGTATGACTTTGAAAGCCTTTGTAGTGTGGTGTGCATGTGTTGAGGTTTGGTTCGGGGTAATTGTTTAATAAGTATTAGCAACTAGTAGATTTACCAAGGGACTTAGTGTTTTGGTTGTACTCGTACAATGGGTGATGGGATAGAATGTGGATTAAAGAGTTGACTTATTGGTGGTGTCGGTGGTGTTGTAGCGTAGTAGGCTCTTGCGAGTTGGCTTGGTACGAGAGAATAAATATGTGAATTTCATTATTGTGAACTTGGTCGAAGTTGTGAGTGCATTGGCAGAATGAGGGATTTCGTCCTGAGATAATCCATTTGGGGTTAAGGGTGAGATGTTGTGCAGTACGTAATGGAGTCTTGCTTGTGTGGTGTGTAACAGTATATGGTTTGTGTATTGTTGTTAGGTGATGTGTAGAAGGGGATTGGTCATGGGACAGTCCCAAGAGGGTGTCTCGGTGAGGCAATAGTGTGGTTAATGTATAGATTAAGTAGTTTAATGTTCAATAGTGCTGGGTCACTTTGGTGTGGTTTTTGTTGTTTGGTTTGGATAGTGAAACTCCGAGTGAAGTAGTAAGATTTTGTGGAGTGGTTGGTGCGCTCC